TCCTGCTCTGGAAAACAGTTGCTACAGTTCCTAAAACACATAAACATAGATTACCACATGAGTTTGCAATTCCACTCCTAAGTATATACCCAAAAGAATGGAAAACAGATACATAGACATGTATGTTCATAGTAGCATTATTCATAATAGCCAAAATGTGGAAACAACCCAAACATTTATCAAGAGATGATTGGATAAACAAAATGTGGTATGTACTTTACACAGACACCAGAGGTCACATTTTGTATGATTCCATTTCTGTGAAATATCCAGAATGGATAAATCTGTAGAGATAGAATACAGATTTGGGGTTGTCAGGGACGGAGTGGGGGAGGGGCTGGAGGGAATGGTAGAAACTGGTTAATGGGTGTGGGATTTTACTTGCAGTATATAGGGGTGGTGGTTGCCCACCATTGTGAGTTTGCTAAATGCCACTGAATCGTTCATTTTAAAATGCTTAATTTTATGAATCTCTCCTCAATAAATTAGTTTTTAAAAAACTCGAAGGGTATAATTCATTCATGATAGCCAAGTTTTGGGTGTAACCCAGGCTGATTTACCCCTTTAAACATCAAAACCTTTTATTATAAAATGCACATACTAAGATGTGGTGGTTTTGTCAACATAATGAAAAATTTTACATAAATTTGTCTGTTATTAATAATAAACACTTATGTAGCATTGCCTGTGGAGCAGGCACTATTCTTAACCCCTTATATACATTAACTCATTTAATCATCACAATAACCCTATAAGGTAAGTATTTTTATATCCATGTTACAGATAAGGAGAGTAGGACCCAACAAGGTAAACTACTGTGCTCAAGTCACACAGCTAATAAGTGGTGGAGCCAGAATGTGAACCCAGGACACCTTGCTCAAGAGCCTGTAATTTTAACCCCTTGGAGTACTGCATAATAATACCTTTCTTCTTTATACAGTAATCTTCATAAAGGCTGGGATTTGAATCCATGCCAGGCCTAGAGAAAATCTGATAGTTATATGGCGAATGAATGAACAAACAAAAAATAAACAACAGACTTTGTATCAATATAGTTATAGACTAAATGTATGTATCCCCTGAAGTTCATATGTTGACACCTAATCCCCAAAGTGACAGTATTTGAAGGTGGGGCCTTTGATTGGTGATTAGGTCATGAGGGTGGAGCCCCCATGAATAGGATTAGTGCCCTCAGAAAAGAGGCCCCAGAGAGCTCGCCGCCCCTTCTGCCCTGTGAGGGCACAGGAAGAAGATGCCCATCTCTGAATAGGCATCTCACCAGACACCAACCTGCTGGTGCCTTGATCTTGGACTTCTCAGCTTCCAGAACTGTGAGGAAAAAATTGCTGTTGTTTATAAGCCACTCGGTCTACCATATTCTGTTATAACAGACCAAACAAAGTACAACAAATGTTTTGGCAGTTAGAGACTTTTGTGTTTACTGCTTGTCTCTCACTGGTGTTTCAGAAAGGTGAGATTTTATGTAAATAAGACACTGCTAGGCACTGTAGGCTATCCCCATATTAATAAGATGAATATAATTGAGTCTGGGACCAGTGAACTATTATAAAATTAGCCCTTATTTAAACTATATGAATTAGGGGAAGCCAATACCAAAACAGATTTATAAATCTCCCTATTTTACAAGACATTCCCCCCCAAAAAAAATGGGGATGATGATTTTTAATGCATAAAGTACTTTATGTATGTATTAAAATTGATAACTTAATTTTTAAAGCTAGTTAAGATACTCATCAAAGGTATTAAACACCTACAGAATGGTTCATTTTATGGTGTCTTTATGGCGAACAGGGTTACATCATCACTCAAACATTCTAATAATACACTAACTCATACTGGGAGCAAAACATCAAAAAAAACCCACCCTCTGGTCGCGTCTGGATACTACCTGGGCTCATCCGTCCGCGTCCTCACAGCCTCCCCTCCACGTACCACTTTGCCGTTCCAGCCAGCATCACGTTCTTTGCGATCTGGTGATCTGAAGTACGTGAACAAAAGCAGTTGGAATTCAGCTGTGGCATGTTTCAGACGTTAGCCAAGCAGTCCGCCTGGTCCCATACCATCTCTTCCCGAAGGTGGAACTTGTCTGAAGGAACAGTGCAGACAGGCCCTGGCCCCTTAGTGTCTGATCGCCAGCTTGGTTTGTTAGGTGCCGTCTGGGGAGAGAGATGTGCTCTCCAAATAAAATGTGTATGGGGTGCTACTTTTGAGGGTGTAGCTGGGTAAAGAGCAACCAGAGAAGAAACGAGGAAGACGTGGCAGCTGCATTCAGTCTGGGTCAGCTGTTACCAAGGGGCTTTTTGTCCATGGCGGCCTGTGGAAGCACATGCGGCACTAAATGTACCCTAAATATACCAGTGGGGTCGCCCCACCGGTCTCTTCCGTGCCGGCTGCGCCCTGGCAGGACTGTGTTTCTTTCCTTTCCTTCGCCTTCAGTCTCCCAGTGCTCTGTTCCCTTCATCTGAGTGATCACTGCCCCCCATTTCCCCAGCCACTTTCTACGTATCCCTCATGACTCAGGTCAAGTGTCTCCTGAACAGAGACTTTCAGTGACACCCTGCGCTGGCAGATTTCCTCATTATTTTTCACAGCACCTTGAACGTTTCCTTCAGAGCCCTCAACTGAACTATAATTAAATACCCATTTATGGATAACGTGTTTCGTATTCTCTGCTGGGTATAAGCTTCAAGAAGGCCAGGACAGAGTCACTCTGCGTCACCACTGGATTCCCAGCCACTAGATAAGTGCTTGACATGGAATAGAGGCTCGATACGTATTTGCTGAATGATGAACTGAGTAAATGAATGAATGAAGACAGGCCATGCCCCCTATTTATTCAGTGTGGCACTGGTTAATTTTTACTGTAGTGTCTATGCTCTTTTCAGAATTCTTATTTTAAAATTAAGCTGTAAATGCTAAAAAAATAAAGTAAAATGACCTAGCGATTGGACATGGCGGGGGTGGCTAGTGGCGAGCTGGGTGGTGGCGAGATGAATTATCTTCCATTTAGGTCTATCAGATCAGCCAACTGCCAGGTCATAGTTTGGTTTCACAGAAATGAGACTAAAGCCCCTTTCCGTGTGTTCCTCCACAAAGTCTCAGAAAAAGGTGGAGAGTCAGTAGTTGCTAAATTAAATGGTTTTAGCAATTAGTCTTTATTTTAAAATAATAAACCAATAGTTTTTTATTTATCCTTTTATTGAAGGTTTTATACTGTCCAGAATTTTCCTCAAATAATAACCCAATAAGTAGGGAAACAGTCTGGGTACAAGGAGAGAGTAGATACACAGAAAGGGAAGGTGACACAGGAGAGCTGAGCCTTTTAATGTGCAATCTGATTTGCATGTCAGCCACCTTCCGGTAATACTCAGATTGCCTCTATCAACGTGGCCAGAGTTTATACTTACATAGAATGTTTTTGAGGGATGATTGGTTGAATTTTTCTTACTACTCACATTCATACATACACAAACATTTTTCCCCCGCTATATTCTAAAATTTTTATAAAGAATAAAATAAAACCCATGCTTAAAGTTAACCATCAAAAGTTATTTTACATTTTGGTATCTTTCCTTGCCTTTTTGCCATTCACACACTTTATTTATTGGTTTTCTACAGTTGGGATAGTGTTTTGTATGTATGATTTTCATTTCACTTTTATTTTTTAAATCCTCACCGAAGGATATGTTTTTACTGATTTTAGAGAGAGAGAAACATCAATGTGAGAGAAACATCGATTGGTTGCCCCTAGTACGCACCCCGACTGGGGTCAAACCCACGGCCCAGGTACGTGCCCTGACGGAGAACTGAACCCACAACTGTGTGGTGTCCGGGACGACTCTCCAACCAGCCGAGCACCCGGCCGGAGCTCATGTACTTTTTATCTTGAGCCTTTCTCATATCATTAAGTCGTCTTCATACATACAATTTCTTGTGACTCTTGACTGGAAATCCAAGTTGTTTATTTCTCAGAAATTATAAACACCTACTTACAGAGACCTTTGTCTGAATTTATTATTTTTATTTTTTTACTTCAGGGTAGATTCATAAAGAAATTACTGAGTAAAATGGCACATACATTTTTAAGGCTTTTGATACATGTACTAAAATTGCTTTTTGGAATGCTAATACCAATTTAATTCCTACTTGCTACATATGACAAGACTTAATATCTTTGCCATGAAAAGGTCATACAAATAAAAGGAAAAAATGTTCTAATAGTAAAATAGATTGAGATCAAGAACAGAAAATTTACTAAAGCTAAAATTTAAATATATAAATATGTATGAACAATATCAAATTTCATTAGAAATACATATTATAATAAAAATACTACATTAACTATAATTGTTTCTCCTTTGAAAATATTCAAAGATAAGATATTAACATTAGGGGAAGCTGAGTAAAGGGCATATAGGAACTCTGTACTATTTTTATAACTTTTCTATAGATCTAATATTATTTCAAAAAGTGAAGAATTTAATTTACTCATAAAGTAAATTAAAATGGCTGTAGCGCTTATTCAGTAATGTCATTGTACTTCTTGATCTCATATAAATGAGCCACCGAGCCCCCAAAAATCTTGTTTGAAACGTACCTAACCAGCCCTTCTCTCAGGATACACTGGAGGGGGTCAGTGGGGAAAAAGGGGACATCTGTAATACTTTCAACAATAAAGATAAATTAAAAAAATATATATATATATATAAAATATTTCCAGGGAATGCTCTTATTGCACAAGTCTCTGAACCTGCTCCATATGTTATATACTCTCATTTAATCCTTCTATGGTCCTAGAAAATAAGCAGTAAAGTCATCAGGCTCATTTTACAGATGAGAAAACCAAGATGATAAGGTTGAATAACTCATCCAAAGTCAGATTCTAAAATGATTTACTTTAATTGGTTTCATTTATAAGATCTGCCCATTTGGCAGAAATGGCTTACATTTTGGGATTGAATGTTTGTCTTCGTTTCCAGCTGGATATGGTGTTCCCTTTCCAGCAGATGAGCCTACAGACGTTATTCCACGGAGCTGCCAACTAACGACAGATGTTCCACAAGTCACACAGCTGCTGAACATGACGAAGCTCCGCCAAACTGTAATAAAACTTGGGGGTCATCCCCTACGTTCAGCAGAATCAGGTATGCACTCAGGTACCTAAATTATAAGCATATTTATTTGTAAGACCAAAATAAAGGGGGCGAACAGCCTTGCAATTAATCTTTATAGCTTGAAGTTAAATATTATGACACTTCAACATTGACTCGTTAGTGATATATCATTATTTTAAGTTTCTCTTTAGCAACTAAAAGAGAGATTTTTCCTGGATTTTTTTACATGATAAATCAAAACATGCTTAACTATTCCTCTCCTTTTCCTGTATGCTTCCAAGCCCTGCCAATTATACCCCCTAAACATCTCTCAAATCTGTCTCCTCTGTCTTGTTTCTCCACTGTTCTGATCCCCACTGTCATTCACCGTAGCCTCCCAGTTAATCTCCACAGCTGTCAGAATTGTCTTTCTGATCATAGAAATAGAAATGTGATCCTGTCACTCTTTAATTAAAGACTTTTTAAATTAAATGCCTTTCCCACTATCTTAGAAAACAACATGAAAAGACCCTTAGGAATTCACACAAAGCCAACCCTCCCGTCCCAAACCTACTCCACAGTTTTCTCTCCAGACCACCTTTCTCTCGTTCCCCATGTGTGATTTTCTGACCACTCTGTGGGCTTTCACGTGTTCATATTTTGGGATTGCTGTTTCGTTGGCCTAAGATGATTTCGAAGCTTGCCGCTCCGCTTGGAAAGCTCCCATTTACCTTTCTAGACCCAGCTCAAATGCCACCTCTTCTCTACAGCCTTTCCTAATTCTGGCAGACATTGTTCTCTTTCCATGACTTTTCCCTTTCTTCTTTCTCTCTCTCTCCCTCTCTCTCTCTCTCTTGCAGTACTTTTTAATATGTCTGCATTCCTCAATAAAGTGTGACTTTCTCATTCATTTATTTCCCTAGCTTCTGACAACATAGCCCTTGCCATATACCAAGTCAGGGGCTGCAGACTCAAATTACTACAGAGGCCAGTGAGATATCATAAATAAATAAAGTGACCTGGATGGCTGGATATTTGACACATAGAAACATTTTCTGCTTCAACAGTGAGCCTTATTGGGAGTGGAGGGGGCCTTAGGGAAGAGGGTTGAGATGTGTCAAAGAAATAGTTCTCTACCATGAAAACAGCAACATTAACTACTATGTAAATGATACAGTAGGTGGCCGACTAACACTCAGCCTGGGAGGAGCTGTAGGGAGTGGTGAGGACTGTAGCAAACTAGCAGCCCATCCTCAGTGTAGGAGGGGTAACTGCAGTTCAGTTCTAGCCAAGTGCTGCCTTGCTGGAATGCAGGCCCAGTCTCACCAGTTCTTCCCCTTTGTTTTCAAGACTAGATATCCCAATGTTTATGATAAGCCTCCCACTTTTAAAATATTATCTAAGTCTGAATTTTTTTGGAAACACTCTATGAGCCTAACGAAACATGCCAGTACATGCCAGTTTTCTGCACTGGAACAGTCACCCATAGCTATTGACCAAATGAATGGATAGTGCTTTACAAATCAAGAAGGCTTAGATGAGTTGTTCCCAACCTCCTGTATTTTAGAATCACCTGGGACATTTTTTAAATGACTGACATAAAAAAATTTTTCTAATATCTGTACTTCATTCCTAGAGATTCTGATTTAATTAACCTGGGATGAATTTTTTTAAACAGCTTCCCCAGGGTTAAGAACCACTGAGTCACTTATCCCCACAAAGGTCATATGGTTTAGATTATATACTCATAAACATGGGAGTGGTGCAGAGGGAGGTGAGATGGTCATAATAGGGCACTTACAGAGGAAGTCGATCTTGAAGGTATTCAATAAATTAATGTATAAGTGTTTATAATGAATAAATATAAGATTCATGGATATGTAAGGTGGCACAGAAGCCCGAGCAAAGCTAAAGAGACAGCAAACTGCCTGGAGGAGCTTACGGAGGGATTGCCAGGAGGAACGGCCTGAGGAGGCAGAACTGCCGTGTTGGAAATACAAGAAGAATTGCCTCATGTTTCTAAAGTAGAGGAATGCTAACTTCTTTTTTAGGAAGTTGACAATGACGTCAGGACTCAATATGAATTTGTAAGTCAGGTGAGACCAGAGATTAAGGATTGCAGCTAAAATGTCTTTGCAGCAAGCTAGGCATGAAATGACAAGGGGCTGTGAAAGCGGAACTGCAGGGGAAACCGCAGGACGTGGTGACTCCAGGCAGCAGATGGGGAAGAGAGAGTGGGCCAAGTGAGAGGTCACCGTAGAAATGGGAAAAGGGGGTAACCGTGAGGAAATGAATGAATTGCGAGCATGGATTTAGTTTTGCTCTCTGTCTTTATCCCATGTTCATTTAGTCTGGTGAGTTTCCCATATAGCATTACATGTCCTAATCACATGTTCCCAAAGAACTGAGATTGATTTTATAACTTTTTCAGTACAAACCCTGGCAGAGACTGTGTGTAAATTGGCACTACATTTTAAACCCTTTATTATTAAATTTCCAAACTTACAGAACAGTAGAGAGAATATATAACGAACCCCCAAATATCCATCACCTGCTTCCACAATCACCAGCTTTGGGCAGGAATTTTTGATACCAATGAGGGCGTAAGTAGTGAGGATTTGTATATTTATTATATACACTGTCTTTAGATGACTGGAGGGAGGAAGAGAGATATATACAATCCATTTTCATTAAAAGACTTTTGGAAAATATATAAAAGGATGCAAAAGAACCCACTACCCAGACAGCCACTATAAACATATTGGGTTTCAATTCAATCTTAATGGAAGATTTGCCACAGAATGAAATGAGAAAGAGTGTTTTCAATAAGCAGGCACTCCCTCTGTATCTAATATATTGGCTTTGATAATTTTCAGTAACAGAAATGATTAAGCTATAAAGCCCATCAGATAACTCTCTGCTATTGTAAATGTTATTGTCTTCTCTGTATCTTAATGTTTTAATAATTAATTATGTCCTTAAAAGAAAATGTAAGTCTATAATCAAATATTTTAAGTGTCTTTTTTAGTTTAAAGTTCAAGGACACATGATGCCTGAGATTAAAGAGGAATTTGAATAAATATTAATTACATCATTAATTCAATATTTAAATTAAACAGAAACTTTTTCATGGGCCATATCTGACCCCAACTTGTAGAACAGGCTGTGAGTTCATATTTTGCAGATTTCATAAATAGGCTCTCACTGCATAATAATAGTTCATTTGAGTCATATATACAGAAAGTTGATAAACGTCTAATAGCACGTTTCTTCTGCCCTGTGAATCCCAATTATATTTATATTCATTTATAACTATAGAGTTTACGATTGTTTCCCTTAAGTAAATATTGCACATGTGTGGCAGCTGAGATTACATGAGCATATATTGAACTTTGTGCTTCTCTTTCTATAAATAATTTTCAGCTGCTCACTTTGACATGTGTGGGCTTTGAAATTTACTATAGGTGAATATAATAATAATTATTGTTCTCTGTGTAAGATATTTTATCTGAAAGGTGTAGCAAATGAATAGTGCCCAAGGACAGACTTTTTAATCATGGGAAAGCCAGGAGATATTTCTTCATTTGAACTATGTGTTTTTATGTCTTTCTAAAAAAAAAAAAGGGACTCCCCATTGTGAGATTTGAATTGCATGAGCAATGACTGTGTGTTTTTGTAATTGACTGTACAGTACTCATGTAAATTGTATTTTATTATAAATGCACATATTGAGAGATCCCAATGAAGCCGCTGCAGGAAGAAGTAGGTGTTTCCTATGGATGCTCTCCAGCATGTTTACCCGAGCAGAAAAGGGAACATCGAAACTTCTGCTTTAGAGAGCATTGTGTTGAATATCATATAACTTGACCGAGAGATTTAATAAAATAAATTAATAAAATAAATTTAATAAAATAAACACACTTAATAAAATAATTGTGTTTCCATAAGGCCAGTGTTGCCACACATTTTTACTGTTCACTTTCCAGTTCCTGGTGCACATTAGCTAATGAGCGTCAGTCTGCAGGTGACTGTGAGATCTGAGTCTTATTTCCATTTAATGAGACCCCAGTTTAATTAAACTGGAGAAGCAGTTCTGTTATTGAAGTTGATACTTCAGCTACTAATGACAAGGTGTAGTCCACTAAGCACAAATCAAAACTAGTAATTTACTTAAAAATTAGGAGGCAGTTCTCGCAAAGCACCCTTCTTTCCACGGCAGCAGTCTCATTGGATTTTTACTGCTTTTTAAATAAGAAGAGACTGACATCCCTGTCTCCTAGCACAGCTGCAAACAGGTGAATTAATGCATCTAGCAAAACCATGAAATAATCATCTAACTGTGCTTGGCATTGGTGAGATCCTTATTGACATTTTTTCTTGCATTCCACATTATGAAAGCAAAATTCAAGTCAAGCAACAAAATCTACTGTAAAGTAGAACCTAAAAAAAAAGGAGTAAGATTCTGACTCCCAGAAAAACAGGACACCCTTTTAATTTCTTCTCTAAACTCAGACTTTGGTAAACCTTATCTTAGGATTGCTGGTTAAAGAGATGTCACAAGTTCTAGCTACAATGTCTGATCATAATTCAGGGTAAACCTAGTCATCTCTCACATTTGAAATATATATTCTGTTTCCCTGTCTTTAGTAAAAATGAGGCATAATTGATCACATTCCTTCGTTAAAAAGTTTTAAATGTGAAAGGATTCCCTATGGATATCAATCTAGTGTCTGTTATAGCACAGATATCACAAATTATTTATAAAGTGAATTTTCCGTTTTCTGTGGTATTTCTGCCAAATGCTGAAAAAAACTTTGATACATAAATGATACATAAAACATAATATTAAATATTAAAAATACATTTAATTGGTTTGATAATTGTGCTAATTTTGCAGAATTGATTCATTCCAACCCTCACATTCTTCTTTAGATGCCTATTGCAACATTGCTTATAGTAACAAAAACCTAGAGACAAACTACTTGTGCATAGTAGGGAACTGATTAAATATCCACCTAGTAAGACATTATCTATGTAGGTGTACAGATGAC